TCCCCCTCGGGGTCGGGGTCGCGGGCGTCCGTTTGCTTGAGCTGTGCAAAAATCGGGCCGTGCACTGGATTCGGAGGCTGCCCTGTGCCCCCCACTTCTGTTTCAAACCTTAGCTCTGTGCCGGAAGAACCCTGCGCCAGGATTAAAGGCTGCACTGCGCCTACGGCCGACTTTTCTCTTTCGACTCCGAGGCTTGCACTGGCTGCTGTTGAATTTTCTAATCCATCAGCCGGTTCCTCTGCCTGCCGTGGGTTCCCTACCTCTAGGCTCAGTGGCCCGAACCCCCCCTAGTGGTTTAGGCGAGGGGCGGCCTGGTTCCTGTGGAGCCGACGCCTTGCGCCCTGTGGACGGCATTCGTGCTGCTGAGCCTGCTGGTTACCCCGCCTCTAGGCCTATAGTTCCCTTTCTCCCCCTACTGGTTTAGGTGGCGGGCGGCGTGGTTCCCGTGACGCCGCTTTGCCCCGCAATTCTTCACTCATGTTTTCCCAGGCTGAGGACCTGCAATCTTCAGGTGGCAAGTGCGCAGGCGAGCCAGTCAGAGCTCCAGTCGCCCAGCCCCTTCCTTTCACACAAGGGAACCACCGTGCTCACAAATGGGCACAATGGCACAAGAAACAGTGTCGCCCTCGTTAGGGCAGCGAAGCTCCAGGAGAGGAAGGGAATCAACAGTGCGAACCTCCTCAGCCCACACACACAGAAATCCCGAAGAGAATCAAAAGCCTCTCCGTCCTCAGCTTCCGAAGGTTCAGCGCTCATACTCAGTCAGCCAAGGGAAACCCGCGGCCGACAGAATCTCGATTGCTTCCCACTTTGAAGGGGAACCGATAAGAACAGACTGACCCACATCCCGGCCCCTCTTGCAGATCCCTGCGGCGTCAGCAAAGGAGTACACAACCCTGGGCGGTTGCAACGGCTGCCCAGCGTAATCCGCAAAGATCAGGTACAAACGGCTCTTGAGGCTCAAGTGAGCGGCCTGAATCTCCAAGTTGTTGCCCACGGAGGGAACGGAGAATTCCAGGCGGCCAGCTCGATCGTCAGGGTCGATGGGGAGCCCCGATGAAGAAGCAGCAGCCTCGGAAGGCAGAGGGCGAGAAGGTGAAGCCGCAACCGGCACAGCTGAAGAAGCAGCCACGGCAGAAGAGGCAGCGCGGTATGTAGGCAGAGAATAAGGGCTCCGAGGGCGAGCTGGAGACTACCCGAGACTCTGTCCCAAGACTGGGACCTAGAAGCACCTGGGCTCTCCAGGCGAGCAACACGAGCCTCAAGCCGGCTGACCTGATCCACCAGATGGGTGAGCAAGACCTGCAGAGCGTCAACTGCACGTGTCAATTGCTCCACACTACCCATCCAAAGCCCTAAACAACCAACCGGCCTAACCGAGACCCCCCTGCTAGCCGTAAAGCCCAGCGGCCCAAGCAAAGCAAGTCCAACAAAGGCAGAAGCAGAAGGCCACACGCAGCACAGGCCAAGACAAAAGGATGTAGGATCGACGGTGAACGGCCTGTCAGGCTCAGGACCGTCCAGACCAGGGGGCACTAAGGGGCACACCTGAGGAGAAGAGCTTCGAAGACAGCAGCCCCCAATCCTCCGATGGCAAGCCCTAGCCCCGCAGGCTGGATGCTCATAAGCCGAAAAACTTGAGCCATCATCATTGTCACCCTGGTATTTCGTCTTCACCATCACTCCTTGCTCCTCTTCCAGTTGGTCCTGCTTCATTCTGATGGTTCCATGTCGTCTCCTCTGCATGCTCCGGACGTCTGAACTGTTCAGTTTTCGGGTGTTGCCTGAAAAACTCTTGGTTGGCAACGGCCTGCGCTTCTCCGTCACGAAGACAACGCCTGCGGCGCCCAGGAGGCGCCTGGTTCGGGCCCCATTTGGGGGTATTGAAGGCTTTGACGGCGCCCGGGCTTTGGACCTTGAATTTCAAGATGCATTGGGGTGGTCGCTAAAGCAATTAAACACCCGAATTACCCCCTACTAGTAGCAAGGGCCTGTTTTTGTCTGGATCACAATCATACTGTTAGGACTCTATTGAGGTCCAGACTCAGGGAGACGACCTCACGAATCAAGGGGCCAGATTAGTCGCAAGCGTCGGGGTCAAGTGTTTACGCTGCGAGTAAGAGTTTGGGCTGGACCTGCACAGTGAGGTACTTTATATAGCATAATCGCAGTCGTGCTCCGAGGCAGTAGCACGGCTGAAATATGCAAAGCCTCGAGGAGCTGGGACAACAATAGAAAAGCACGGAATCTTCAACCTCGTTGCTCAGCCTGTTTCCGCATTAGGATCTGATTTCACCGACAGCTACACAGCACCTGCCAGGTGTACGGAACACCTGTAGGGCTTCGAACGGCAAGTGAAACCGCTTATCGACCCAAGTACTGCTGATCTCAGCCGTGCACCCGGAAAAGCGCACAAGCTTCACATGACACTGAACCTAAAAGTCAGCTATCCGGCATCTATCATATCACCTGCATGTGCTGGTGCCTGGCACCCATCATTGCTGGAGCTCGGCGGGCACAAGCCGCTGAAGTATCGGCTTCAAGCGTGCCAGATTCTTAAAAACTCAGGCGTTATCGGGCTCAGGTCTTGTAGGTTTCAGGGCGTGCTGGGGCAGGAAGCTGACTGCGGGATCTTCGGATCTTAGTGTTTGCGGTGTTCAAGACTTGAGGTTCAAGGCCATGCGATTAGCGTCGCCTCGTTGTTCGAACAGTTCTTGGGGCTGCTAAGGTTTCGAGCTATGAAAGGTTCCCGCTCGTAAGCCTTTCTGTTTAAGGCCTCTGGAGTGAGCCCTTCGGGCGGGCTTGCGGTCGGGAGATTTTCGCTTTTCGGCGCTCAGGGCTTGTTGGGTTTCTGTGTTTTACGGCTCATGGAATTTAGGGTTTTGGGTTCTCAGGGTGTCTAGGCTCAGCGTTCGGTTCTGGGGTTGATGTATTTTTGTATTCAGGGACGTGCAAGTTGTCCCGAGTGCATCCTGCAAGCCCGAAGCCGGTTGTGGGTATGTCCCCTCCAACGTGTGCCAGGGCTAGTGCTGTGCAGGAGAAGTTCAACTTCGTATGGCTGGAGCCAAAGTCTCCGGGCGCAAATGTTGAATCCTGCCCATGAGTCCATGAAAGTGACCTCTCCCAAGTCTACATTACCAGCATAGCTCTGATCACCAGCTGCCTGACGGTGTCAAGAGCTCCAATGCCTGGAAACACGTTAGGCCCTTCGGGGTGCACATGATAGAACACAGTCGAGTGTCATGACTGGCGCCATCAGCAGTAGCATCTTGACAACCCTGCCTGCCCTTACAGTCTTCAAGCCCTAGATCCACTGAGCCTCAAACCATGCGGGGTGCAAACCCTCAAGCCCTTGCTCATGGTAACCCACGTGAGGTCGTGTAGCCCGTCTTTGTCAGCTCAAGCCGAAAAGGGTGTTAGCCGCCCGCTGCGCTGCCGTACCGGACGTCGGGGGTCCACGTCCTCCCTTGCCCTTTCCTTCTTGGCCGCCCTTTCCTTTCCTTAGGCGTGCGGAAATCAGCCGATGTCCCTGCTGCAGATGGAAGCTCTAAGCCCATGAGCCGCAAACTCACACGGTGCAACTCGCGACTGTGCTGGTTTCCATCTGAAACCCTTAGCTTTGAGGTCGAAGCCCCAAGCTTCCTCCGCCTATGCCGGAGAACAGGGAACCTTCCGTCCGATGCCTGATTTAAGAGAATGTGCCTTCCATGACCTGCAGCCCTACGCCGTGTCTGCAGCCTGAGGAGCCCCTTCCCTTTGCGTCGGCGCCGCCGCCGACGTCGGGGTCTTTCCTCGCCGACATCGCCTTCGCTCACCTGCAGAGACGTGGAGCAAGGGCGTGGATGTCAAATGCCAATTTTTTATTATGCAGTCACATAAGAAATTAAGCTTTCATGTTGCATTCTGCCGGGTAGAGCGGGTTGAGGCTCGGCAAGCATCGATGAATCGAGACAACATACAAATCATGCGATTCTGATTGTAATCCGGTCCCTTGAACCTGAAGGTCCTAACACCTGCTACAGCCCTGCAACACACTCAAGTAGCATGCCTAGGTCGCGCGGTGTAGATCATGCTTTCGCATATCCAGACTGTACAGAGCTGCCTCCGAGTGCTCTGCGACAGCCTGCTCCCAAGAGAGCTCCTGCAAACGGGCCCTAAAGTTTTATTCTTCTTCTTCGTTATGAACAGTAATCAAAAAGGCATGATACGTTCTTCGACAGCGATAGCAAGACATAGTATATAGTATTGAAGCTTGTCCCCCTTCGACGGTCTAGAGACTTGCTCCCTTCCAAAGCCTACCAGCTGAGGCAGATCCCATGTCTTCCGGCCTCGCGACGCTCTTCCGAACCATTCAAGGGCTAACTGCTGGAGTTTAGTCCAACTCTGCCAAGGCAAATTCCCAACCTCAACATTCACAAAGACTTGCTCTCAACTCCAAACCTCATTCGACTATATTCGACTCCTACTTCGCAAGTCACGTCAACCAACACCCCCAAATTCCGAAGGACCTCAAAAACAACACTCACAGCATTTACTGCCCCAAGACAGTCCAAGCATTTCGCTGACGAGCTCACGGAGCAGTGGCAATCCACGCCCCGAAGCGCGGTCATCTCCTACAGTTCGACATGATCGCGGTTCAGATTCTTGTCGTTTTTCGGTTCTCGTGCATGCTCCCTGTGTGGCCCTTGACCGCCAACTTTACGCTGCTCTGGAAAACTATGAAGGCTCTGCACGCCACGGGGGCTCTTGGCTTCCAGGGAACACTGGGAGTTTGGATACCTCGGTATGAGGGTTTCGCGTTGAGAGGTATGGGGAAATGAGGTTTGATGAGAGTCTAGCTGTTTCGATTTCCGGCTTTAGTTTAGGTTGGGGATGTCAGGATTAAGACACGGAGATCTCCTGAACCTGACCCCTCTCTGAGTCGCACGAGCCTCACCCGAAAGCATGTCTAGTCAGACTCCTGAATCCCAAGTCCTATCTTAGTCGCTACAAGTTCTCATTTAAGGCTCAAAAGCAAACCTAGCAACACCCATACTGGCATCTCCGGGCAAATAGATGTCAAGCCTTCGTCTCCAGTTGTTCGACCCCAACACCAAAGACTTGGAACACAGCTGTTTCTTCGATCCAAGCGCGCTGCGGTATCTTCGTCTGATACATGTCTGAGCATCGTGGTTACCTATACATCTGCACAATCGTAATTTCACTCCGCTCAGTGTTCCCGACAAAATGGGAGAGCACTCTAGCCCGTGCAGTCCGCGCATGGCCTCATGTGCCGGATGCGCACTGCTCGAATATGGTTGCAGTCCGGTCACGATGAAACGTCCGGCCGGTAGCAACCGTGGTGAAAAGCTCTCTAGGCGGTGCTTGCAGACGTCCATGGGATCATCAGCAGATCCATGAGCTTGGTCGTGGCCTTCGCGAAACCACTTTTCCTTTTTCTCACGCAGAAGACGGCTTGCACGATCGTCCTCGTTCTCCTCAAAGAGACGTCTCCACCATAGTTTCGCTGTCTCGCAGAGTAATCGTTCTGCCGCAATGACGATGACCACAATCGTCACTATCCACTTCCAGCCGTCGTCCGCATCTGAAGGTGTCGAAGACGTAGTCGGCGTGGTAGACGTAGAAGCCGCTGTAGTGGTGAGCAGCGCCATGCACATGAACCTCGGTTTCACGAAGGTGAGGCACGCCGTGATGTCGATGGCCGGCTTGCTGAACTCCTTGATGAGCTCGCGGTCGTCCAGGTCGAAGTGGCGCTCCTCGATGTGGTCCGTCGTGGGAAGAGCACGCAGGGTCACGTGATGTTTCTCCTGGTTGTGGAACTCCACTGTGCCCGTTGTGAGGAGCTGCATCATTGGCCCGGCAATCATCGTCTTGGTGAGCGAATCCGCCGTCATCGACTCTGTGGGAACCAGGCCCATCCATCGTATTCTTCCTGTCATGCGTGCCTCTCGGAACGATAGCACGTACAGCCGCTGGTTCTTGTCCTGGGGCGCATTCTTGTCTCCCGACGCCAGCTCGAAGAAGTCCCTGCAGTCCGTAAAGGAGTCGATCGGGAGCCCCACGACGCCCCGTTCCTGTTGAGCCGTCAAGCTCTGTATGGTCGGCATCTTTGGTGAGTAAAGCAACTCAGCCAACCTCACAGAAACCAGGGTTCCGGCTTCCAGACCGCTGATAGCCGCCAGAGTCTCAGCATGAGACGTCGAGTAGCTGATCCTCTTGGCCTTCGCTCCATGAGCCCACAAAATGTGGCATCGGCCGCCCAAATGTTGGCACTGGCGGTCGTCGAGGACGTGCTCGTAGTCCTCAGAGAAGTGGCTCAGGTGGTCTTCACAAAGTAGAACAAGGACCCCTTCCTGAGCGTAGTTCCGAACGTTGCCTGCCGCGGATGAGTCGTGAATGCAGGCTAATGGCAACTTAGGATGAGTAAACCATATATAGTAAACCCCCCCTGATTAAAGACACGCTTTGGGGGTCCGGGATTTGAGAAAAGGCAGGGGCAAGAGGAGTTTAGAAGGGCGACGACGACCCCCCAGAATAGTGGCCTCAGACCTTAAAAAAAAACCCCAGATTAAAGCTGTTCTCCGCCTCAGGCCTAAAAAAATGCAAAAGCGACGTGTTCACTGTCTAAACAGCAGGATTTTATCGCTCAAGCAATGAGACGGTAGCTTCTGCCGGAAGGCAGCTATCGAGTGGAGGCGCAGCGACTACTGTCTGATATACCTACCCCAACCGATAAATTGGATGGGGGACCCTGCTCCAAGATTTCATGCCCGTGCAACAGAAAGTAGTGCAGCATGTGCAGCCGAAACCTTAGCACTTCCCAGACAGCTAATGCCTCACTTGAGTTTAACAGTTATCAGTACCAGGACCTAATTCTGAGTGTTTGAAAGGCTCATCGATTTCGAAAATTTCGGCTGCTGAGCACATGTCTTCAGACGAAGGTCTTTGTCGAGCCGGGCGAATGCGGCCTTCTATTTTTGGGACCTTGGGACCAAAAAACCCATAATAGCGAATAAATGTTCCCACCCGCCCAGCTACCGCAAGGAAGCTCGTTCGAGCTGAGACGCCTACAACCGAACCACAAGCAGTTATTCCTTACAAGCCGTTCAGGGGCCTTTGAAGCTGGAGCCCTCGAAATCACCACTCTTAAGGCATCTGTCTGCCTGACTTTGTGCTTCACGCCTGAGGTGGTAGCGCTGGCACTTCTAAATGAAAAAGAGAAACGGTGCCGACCAGTCGATGCTGCTCAGTCACCACAGGGCCGTGTTCCCAGTCAGCCTCGTATTGCTGCTGCTCCAAGAAAAAATGCGTCGAGATTAGTAACCCCCCCCCCTGATTAAAGCGGCGCTTTGGGGGTCCGGGATTTGAGAAAAGGTAGGGGCAAGAGGAGTTTAGGAGGGCGACGGCGACCCCCCAGAATAGTGGCCTCAGACCTTGACAAAAACCCCCCACATCCCCCCAGATTAAAGCTGTTCTCCGCCTCAGGCCTAAAAAAATGCAAAAGCGAGTCGAGAGCTGATGCCCAAAACAAAATCGTCGCAGCCCAAAGCCACCGCATGGCTTCCCGACCCATTACCATGGTTTGGTGTCGCAAACCGCCACGTGGTAGGGTGTCAGGCTGCTCAATCTCCACCTCCTCATCTACATCGATCTCCAGCCTGAGGCACCCCATGTTGAGCAGCATCTTTCGCTTCCTCTCCCGAGTGACACTGAACTGCTTCCGCTTCCACACCTTGTGGTTTTCGCCAGCAGACAGCGGGTGCAGAAAATTCCTCGGCGCCCACTGGGTCTTCTTCTGCGTGAGCGGCAACAGCAGCCCATCAGTCGCTTGGAGCCTCTGCGCGGCCTCAGGCCTCGAGTCCTAAGGAACTGCATTGCTTGGGGCCTCTTTACGGCCTGTGACCGCGAGCTCCAAGGTTTGGTGGCGCTTGCACCCAGTTAAGGAGCAGTCCGTGCTCTCTCTCTCCTCTCTCCTCTCCTTTCTCTCTCTCTTGCTTGCTTGCTTGCTGACGGGTATGGGGACCGGGGTCCCCTGGCCCGAAGGCCTACCCGCTCAACGGCTCGCGTCTGTCAGGTCTGTGTGGCCCCTTCCGGGGGTGGGAATGTTCCGTTCCCCCGTCTGTGCCTGTAAACCCCGCTCCCCCAAACAACCAAACCTCCTAAACCCTTCCCCTGACATACCTTGCAGGCGGCAGACGGGTCATCCGGGGCTCCCCAGTTCAACTATTTGTGGGCTTATGGCAGCTTGGTCACTCAACCGAGACGTCGCCCAGAAACATCAGTTAGTGGATATGATCAAACACACTCTTTTCTCTCTCTCTCTTCCCTCTCTTTCTTCGTCGTCGGCTACGGTTTGTTCGTGTTTGGCGACGGGGGCGTGCAGGTGACATTCAAGGGTTCCTGCACGACAACAACAGAGGGCAGCCCATCAGTCGCTGTGACTTTCTGCAAGCTGCCCGTCAAGCCGTAGCAAGCTTCTCCCCGCACGTCACTCACCACTCGGAACATTCAAGACGGAGGAGTGTCAGGCAAGGCCACAAGTGCAGACGTCGGAGCCGGAGCCGCCTGAGGCAAAACCACAAAGGCAGACGTCCGAGCGTCAGGCAGCATCTTGGGCCGGCCAAGTCTGAAAGATTTCGCCAGGAGCTCGGGTCAGTGCCTAGGACCCCTTCGTGGTCGTCTAAGGTGTGGACGACCACGCTCAAGAGGACAAGGGACAACACGACCACGACGACGGACGAGACGGCTCGTGGTCGTCTGAGTGTTTGTCCTCTTGGCCGTGGTCGTCTACTCCGCGGACGACCACGCCCCTCGATCGGCCGAGATCCGACCGACACCTGCCGGGCAAATCAATTGCAGGCGGCTGTTCTTATTAAAGGAACACAGCCTCAGCCAAACAGAGGCGTGGAAGACCACGCCCCTCTGTCGGGCAAGGTCCAACCGACGCCTGACGGGCAAGCCAGCTGCAAACGGCTTTTCTTGTGCAAGGGACACAGCCTCATCCAAACAGAGGCGTGGAAGACCACACCCCTCGGTCGGCCAAGGTCCGACAGACGCCTCACGGGCAAGTCAATTGCCAACGGATGTGTTCCCTTAATAAGGAAAAAAACGTTTGCAGTTGGCTTGCCCGTCAGGCGTCCGTCGAAACTGGGCCGACCGAGGGGCGTGGTCTTCTACGCCTCTCTGATAAAATCCCAAATTGGGCGCGTTAGGGTTTCGGGTTTAGGTCATCGTAAACCTTAAAGTGTTTCCCAGAGCTTCCAAAATGGCTGGGGAAAGCCAAAAACAAATTTTTCGGTGCCCGAAAATGCGTTTGTGGCTGTCTAACTAGGTATGTTGGCTCTTCAAATTTGGTCGTGTTTACTCTTTGACGGTTTGTGTGGAACCCCAAATTGGACGGGTTAGGGTTTCGGGTGGCGGGCGCAGCACGTGGAGTGGCAAGTTGAACCACTTGACATGCTGCGTTCTTAAATGGACGTGACATTGCATCTGCCACTGTCTGTGCAACACACTCTCTCTGGAGTTGTTCGTTCTTATAAACCTTTGGCCACTTCAGAAGCCACACATCTATAGAAGCGCAGCTCTGGAAACAAATGTGCACAAAATTACCAGCCATCAACTTGATTCCACTTCCAAACCATGCCTCTTCCAATCCATGCCACAGGCTCTTCCAATCCATGCCACCGATTCTACCACCAATTTCTTACAAACTTTCACCGCCAATCCAAATGCAAACTCTCTTCCCAATCCTTCCAAATCACAAGCTTTATCACCGGTCCAAGACGAACCAGATTACATTGCCAACTGCAACTCCATTCATTTATTTCCAAATCAAACAACTTACCTCTATTCTCCATTTGTTTGATAACACACCCAGCTGACGAACAGATTGTCCAGTTAACAGGGCTTACATTCTTAGATCTGTTTGGTGGAGCTTGCAGAGTCTAAAAAAGCCTTTTTTCGTAAGCTCTGGCCAAAGCTGGACTAACAAATTGTCTAAACTGTGTAATTATGCTAATAGACTGGCGGCCAGTATTTTTTCTTAAATAAAGATTTGCTAGCTCTAATCCGGCTAAGACTCTACTGGCAAATGGAGTGCCCTAACCAAGCAAAGAAAGGTGCTAAGACAGAAGAAATTGCAGCAAATCTAAAGGAGTCTGGCTGGTACGTTTCTGTGCGTGTTTTTCTGCGTCCATGCGAAGCTGGAGTGTGTCTGTGTGTGTTTCTTTATGTGTTGCTATGTGTTCATGTGTGTGTACGCGCAATCAACCTGTATGTGTTTGTGTCTGTGTGCGTGTCTGTACGTGTGTGTGTGTGTGTGTGTGTCTGTGTCTCTGTGTGTGTGTGTGTGTGTCTGTGTCTGTGTGCGTGTCTATGCGTGTCTGTGTCTGTGTCTGTGTGTGTGTGTATGTGTGTGTGTATATGTGTGTGTGTGTGTGTATGTGTGTGTGTGTGTGGAAAAGCTGGGAGTGTGGGTGTGGGTGTGCCGTTTCAAAAAAAGTTGTTGCAGTCTTTTCCTTGGATCAAACTTTTTGGAACTGCTATGGCGCGAACAGCGACGACAGCAATGGCTGCTCGTTGGGAAGCTGGAGGGCAAGTTCAGATGGGTCCAGCAGGTCGTGATCGCAGAACTAGATCCAGAATTCCAAAGTCACGGCAACCTGGAGCTCGGAATGAGGAAGATGATCGGACGGAGCCAGCTTCTTCCTCCAGAGCAAAACCCATGAAGAGACCTGCGGCTGCAGCCTTGCAAGACATGTTTGAATCCAAAAATGAGGTGCCGCGACGTGCGTACACTGATCCTCGCCAGGAAAGTCCACAGCGAAAAAGAGGCAGACAAGCAACTTTGAGCAGATCGTCTTTGACCCAGCGTTTCTCTCTGGACGGCATTTTGACCTCTTCTCCCAAAAAACTGCTTGAAATTCTGATTGACTTGGGCATGGTGAAGGATGGAGGACTTGATGCTTGTGAATGGTGTGCAGCCACAAACTGGCGTATCGAGTCCAAGGGAGACCACGCCTGTTTTCGATGCAAGAACAAGGATTGTCGGGCATCTAAGTCGGGTTTGAGCGAAGACCAGGACATCTTCGGCAAAAAGATCGCCCTTCGTTCCTTGGTTGGTGCTCTCTGGCTGTTTCTTGCACCCATTCAGATGAGTCCAGATCAGACTGGATTGATCTTGGGTTTGGATCATCGGACAGTGCGGGGTCTCTTCAACAACTTCCGCTCTTGGTTGAGTCCAATAGTTGACCGGCTGAACGAGGACTGACAAACTTTCATGCTTGGCTTGATTCTTAAGGCCATGACAAGATTTACAAGTTGTAGTTACAACTTTAAGTGCTGGATGAAGGACTTGGTGATTGGTGCGTTGGGTGCAGATGTGGAGCTCGATGAGATTAGCTTCAGATCGCAGGCGCTTGACGACAAGATCCTGTGGAATCGTTATGCGGCAGCCGTCAAGCGTGGAAGTGCTAAAGTCTTCATAGAGAAGTTGCCGAACCGCTTGACTGCTGCTGGGCAGGGGGGAGGGGGACCTCTGTCCATTGATGAGCTTAAGAAGCTTGTAGTCACATCCAAGGGAAGCAGTCGCTTGGCACAAGGTTCTGTGTGCCATACGGATTCTGCTAAAGCTTACAAGAAGTTGGCCTCTGACGAACCGTTGCCAGCTTTGTACAGCGGTGCCTTGGCAGGGCCTTCGTTTTCTGAGTTGAAGCTAGCCCACAGCAACGTCAAGCATAAGCCGCCTCACCCAAAGTTTGCCCAGTTTGGACAGGGCGCGCTTGGACCGAAGAAATTAGGGTAGGTGGCACTCAGAAGCTTGATGGCTTCTTCGCATCGTTTAGAAGAGAAGTGGGCAAGCGGTCTTTCAACACAACAGGACCCACTCCTGAAACAGCGCAAACTTTCGAACAGCAGCTTCACGAAAGGATGCGGGTGTTTCAATTTTTGTTTTGGTTTTCCTATGCAGACTGTTTCCAAGTTTTCGCAGCAATTCGCCAAGCTGAGCGAACAGCAGTCGGAAATGCTTCTTGGGAAACTCTAAAGCCATTTTTGGGTGATGGAAAGGCGCCAACTGCCGAAAACCCGCAACTTGTTGAAGGGCAAGTTGCAGGGGCAGCAGCTCCAAATGTCCAAGACATTCCGGCTGGTGGCGCTGATGTGCCCCCCGATGATGAGAATCCTTTTGCCGATCTCGAGAGTGAGCCCGAAGTTTGCGAAGTTTCGGATGCCGACACGTATGAAGGCATTCCAATTCGGTTGCTCAGCTGAAACCGCAATTGCGCCGCTGCCAGCGCAGAAATATGCTTTGCAGCTCTTCTATTTGAACTTTGCAAATTTTAGGACCTTTGGGACTTAGGATGTTCTGTTAGAGATATTGTTTTTATTTTTTGTGATAGCAAAAATGGGTTTTGGGCGCTTCGGCCAAGAAGTCAAAAGACCATACGTGGTTTTGAGAGTTTGGCTCTGACTTTAAAGGTGGTGTTGACTGTTCGGTCTCGCAGTCACAGCAGCAGACGTGCTTCTGAGAGACTTGACCTGAGACCCCAAGGTTTTGAGGCTGTGTTGACTGTCTGGACCCAAAGTCAAAGTAGCAGACGTGGTTCTGGGAGACTTGACCTGACAGGCGAAGGTTTTGAGGTGGCGTTGACTGTCTGGATTCGCAGTCGCAGTAGCAGACGTGTTTCGGGGAGAGTTGACTTTGGAGTCCAAAGTCAAAGTAGCAGACGTGGTTATGGGAGACTTGACCTTAGAGGACAAGGTTTTGAGGCGGTGCTGACTGTCTGGACCCAAAGTCAAAGTAGCAGACGTGGTTCTGGGAGACTTGACCTGACAGGCGAAGGTTTTGAGGTGGCGTTGACTGTCTGGATTCGCAGTCGCAGTAGCAGACGTGTTTCGGGGAGACTTGACCTTGGAGTCCAAAGTCAAAGTAGCAGACGTGGTTATGGGAGACTTGACCTTAGAGGACAAGGTTTTGAGGCGGTGCTGACTGTCTGGACCCAAAGTCAAAGTAGCAGACGTGGTTCTGGGAGACTTGACCTGACAGGCGAAGGTTTTGAGGTGGTGTTGACTGCCTGGATTCGCAGTCGCAGTAGCAGACGTATTTCGGGGAGACTTGACCTTGGAGTCCAAAGTCAAAGTGGCAGACGTGGTTCTGGGAGACTTGACTTTGGAGGCAGGTTTTAAGGCACAAATGTGGTGTTTGGAGGCCTGCCTTCCAGGCAAGGGGCTTGGCAACCAAGTCAAGGTGTGCGCCGCTCCAGGCGCCACGCCTTCAGAAAGGTGCGCCAAAGGAGCCGGCGGAGCGGTTTTGGGTGCGCTTGCCAGCGAAAAAGGGGGCGTGGCATCTGGAGCGGCGCGGCTGACGCGGGCGGCGCGGCGTTTTAAGTGGTTAAGTTTACCGCGCGCGACGCTGCGCCCGGCTTTCGGGTTTATGTCATCGTAAACCTTAACGTGTTTCCCAGAGCTTCCAAAATGGCTGGGGAAAGCCAAAAACGCATTTTCGGTGCCCGAAAATGCGTTTTTGGCTGTCTAACTAGGTCTGTTGGCTCTTCAAATTTGGTCGTGTTTACTCTTGACGGTGTGTGCAGAACCCCAAATTGGACGGGTTG